CGAAGAAATGAAGAACTTCCAGCATTTTTTTTAACTTTATTTTTGGACAGATAATTGAGGAGAAGTCAGCGCATCGACGGTTAAAAGATGTAAAATTTGCTTTAAAATTTTGATAGAACCTACCATGTACGGAAGATTATTCTTGAGGACCACTTGGTGAAACATTAACTTACAAGTTGTGGAATAGATCGGCCCTTTCTATATATTTGCACAGCTTCTTCGTTGGTTCTTTTCTTTGCCATCACCCCAATTCCCAACTCATGACTGCTCTGTATTAACGTGTTTTTCCTTGGCCATCAACCCAATTCCCAACGCGTGGCTGCTCTGTAATAACTTACAATTTGTCCACTCAAATTCCCCGGCAAGAAAAATGGTTTCCATTGCTCTATTGGAGAAGAAACCTCATGTCATCTGCATAACAGCTCCAGCTGAAGGCCACATAAACCCCATGCTAAAGCTCGCCAAGCTCCTCCACCAAAAGCGTTTTCATATCACCTTTGTCAACACAGAATTCAACCACAGGCGCCTACTAAAATCTAGAGGTACTGATGCCCTCAATGGATTGCCTGATTTCCAATTTAAAGCCATTCCTGACGGACTTCCTTCTTCTGATGTCGATGCTACCCAAGATATTCCAACCCTTTGTGAATCTATTGATAGAAATTGCTTAGGTCGATTTAGGGAGCTACTCGCTACACTCAATATTGATACCTCTTCCCTAAAAGTGCCCTCAGTTTCTCGCATAGTTTCCGATGGAGCAATGACCTCCACTCTAGCAGCTGCTCAAGAACTTGGCATCCTTAAAGTTCTTCTTTGGACCGCCAACGCATCTTCCTACTTGGCGTATTTCCAGTTTGCCAAGTTTATCGAAAAGGGTATCATACCGCTCAAAGGTACGGCTCATTTTTGTTAAAAAAAATGTTAGTTCAAAATTTTTTGAGGTCATTTATTTTCTTTTTCCATGTATTTCTGGAATTAAAAAAAGGAAAGAAATAGCTTGAACAGTTACTGCTTCTTTCTAAAGTACTCTTGACTCATTTGACAACGATATTCTTGCATGGTTCATTACATTCTACTCATTGGTGGAAGCAAAACATTGAGTTTGTTTGGATAAAGGAAATTTAGAAAAAAAAATTTTGCCTCACAAATCCCAATCACCTTTTTATTTTTCCAACCACCTTTTTATCTCACATACATCACATCACAAAAGTGTTACAGTAAATATCTCAAATAAATCATCCAAATAAACTCTTATCCAAACAAACTCATTGACTTTTGTGGGCAAAAAATTTCATTTCATGTGAATAATAGAGTGCGAGATGATTTTTTTTTTTTTTTTTACATTTTAACTTTGAGTGGGTCCAACCCCTTTCTCCTTGCAAGTTCTATGATTCGGATGTTTTGGTTGTAAAACATTTGTGGTTTGCAAATGCTAGTTACTTGACAAATGGATATCTAGACACTGTTCTAGATTGGATTCTAGGATTGGAAGGTATAAGTTTAAAGGATCTTCCAATTTTCTTAAGAACCACAAATCCAGATGAATTTATGCTAAAATACATCACGCAAGAAACTGGGAGAGCTCGAGAGGCTTTTGCCATCATTATAAATACCTTTCAACAACTGGAACAGCATGCATTACATGCACTTTCATCTTATCTTCCTCCGATTTATCCCATTGGGCCGCTAAACATCCTCGATAATCAAGTTAAGGATAAGAATTTGAAAGAAATTGGATCAAATCTTTGGAAAGAAGAAACTGAATGTCTTGAGTGGCTTGATTCGAAAGATCCAAACTCGATGGTTCATGTCAACTTTGGAAGCATTGCTATTATGGCACCTGAGCAACTAGTCGAATTTGCATTGGGACTTGCTAACAGTAAACAAGACTTTTTATGGATTTTAAGACCTGACTTTGGCCTTGTTTGGCAGACAAGTTTTTTGCCAAGTTTGTCTGTTACAAGTTTTTTAAAAACTTTAACTACAATAACCTCAAAAAAATTTTAAAAATTTTAAACTATACACTTCAAAATATTAAAAAAAAATACACTTCAAAAATTTTTTAAAAAATTTCTACAGTAAGTTATAGTAAAGTTTTAGATAAACACTCAAAAAACTCACTTGTCAAATGGGACCAAGCTTATTTTAGGCCATTCAGCTATTCTTTCGAGTGAGTTTCTTGAAGAAACCAAGGAAAGATGCGTGTTTTGTTAGAAAATTGATTTAATTCTTTTAGATAGGTTTCTTAATTTGTGTGTAAGTAACTAATTTTCTAATTAGTTTTAATTACTTAAAATAGTAGTTAAGAAATTTTCTATTTTATTTAGAATTTATAAGTTATTTCCTATTCTGTATAAGTTTAGAAATTAGTATTGATTTCCTGTTGTTATTTGATTTTTGATTAAATAATACTTTCTATTAATAGGTGGATTGACATACTATAAAGTGACACATAATGAGAATACAAGGGCGACATGTAACCTTATACATAGGATGAGAAAAGGTTCTTGAGAGATGAGAGATGCTATACAAGAGTTGGAATTGGGTTTAAGTTGTATTTTTATATAGGATTTTCCTGTCATAATAAAGAACGGATGATCTCTCTGTAGACGTAGACTCAATAATAGAATCGAACTATGTTAAATATTGCGTGTCGTTTATCTTTCATGTTTGTGGCTTGTTTGTCATTAAATTGTTATGTACTTGATATTTTAATAGTTGTTTGTTCGCGTTTGGATCCCAGCAAGTGGTATCAGAACTTGATTGTAAGATTGAGTTGCTCACAAACACTTGAATCCCAACAAACTAGTATCAAAGCGGGGTTCATGGTTGGATCATGTTTGATTATTGTGATCAAGTGGATTGGTGACTATTGCCAATTGAACAATTTAATAAGTGGTATCCTTGTTTTAAGGATTTGACAAAAAGCATTGGTGGTGAATGATGAAAAGTTGAAAAGCATGAAAATACTTGATGGTGAATTTAGACAGGTTATTCAAGAGTAAAAAAAAAGGTGAAATTCAATGTTAATTTTGCACATGAATCGATGGAGACATTCTCGCAATTCTAACGGTTGGTACTTCATCTTAGATGATTTTTGGATTTGGATTATATTATTTAGGTGGTGTGACATGTGTTCTAAAGAAATAAAGGGATCTAATTTTCAAATGCAAGAAAACTTTGATAGTTACAAGTTTGTTATAGGGGGAGTCTTGAAAATCACACTTGATGAGACAATCCTAAGAATATGAAGAAATATGATGCTTTTATCACTTGATTATCTCAATGGTTAGAAATATAACTCATAGAAGGGGATTTCGAGTTGCAAATGCTGGTGTGAAGAAATCCTACGAAGGAAGATAGTGAATTGAGATACCTTCTCGCGAGTCAACGAGAGATTGGATTTAGGGTAACTACACATGTTCACTTGCCGATTGAATCAATTGGATGTCAGAACTATATTAATTCGGATTTGTATTTGGTAATTGAAGGCAAATGGTTCCTAAAAGAAATATTCGTCAATATGGAGATTTGTAGGAAATTGATTTAATTTTTTTAGATATATTTCTTAATTTATGTGGAAGTAACTAGTTTTCTACTCCCCCGTCCCATTGAAAGTGTTAAACTTTCCATTTTAATATGTTTCAAAAAAAGTTGTCATGTTAGAAAAGTCAAAATACCTTTTAATCTCTCTTTCTAATATAACCCTTCTTTCTAATTATATGCATGTTACCATTCAAATTTAAATTTTGAATTTATTGGGGTAAAATTGAAAAGAGAAGTGCAAATATCACAATCAAATCATTATTTTTAAAAAGTTAAATTCCCTAAACATGACTAAATAAATGGGATGGAGGGAGTAATTGATTTTATTTATTTGAAATAGTAGTCAAAAAATTTTCTATTTTGTTTAGAATTTAGAAGTTATCTTCTATTTTGTACAAGTTTAGGAATTAGTATTGATTTTCTGTTATTATTTGATTTTTAGCCAAATAATATTTTCTATAAATAGGTGGGTTGTCATACTATATATTGGCACATAATAGGTACATTAGGGCGACAAGTAGCTTTAAACATAAAATGAGAGAGGGTTCTTGAGAGATGAGAAATAGTATATAAGGGTTGGGGTTGGATTCAAATTGTATTCTTATATAAGATTTTTCTCTCATAATAAAAAGCGGGTGCTCTCTCTGTGGTCGTAGGTTCCATGATGGAATCGATTATGTTAAATATTGTATGTCGTTATCTTTCATATTTGTGATTTGTTTGTCATCAAGTTGTTGTGTAATTGATGTTTTAGTAGTTATTTGTTTCGCACTTGAATCCCAATATGTTTGCAAGCTGGTGCTCTCAAGAGAAAGTTCTTAAGCACCCTTTTGTCAGAGGACTCTTAACTCATTGTGGATGGAATTCCACGATTGAAAGCATTAGCTATGGGCTGCCTAAGATCTGTTGGCCGTTTTTCAGCTGACCAACAAACTAATTGCTGATTTTGCTGCACAAAACGGGGCACTGGATTGGAGATAGACAATAATGTTAAGAGGGATGATGTTGAAAGGCTTGTTACAGAGTTAATGGTAGGAGAAAAAGGCAAGAAGATGAAGAGAAAGGCCTTGAAGTGGAAAAGATTGGTGGAAGCAGCTACGCAAAAGTCTTACTTCAATCTTGAGAATGTGATTAATCAAGTGCTTCTCAATCCAAGACACTAGACACGTTAAAGTGAATGTATTCAAATTGTTCTCATGCTTACTACAAGAAATATGGCTTGTTGCGACGCCAAGAATGTGCCACAAAAAGCCCAAAAAGCGCCGCAAAAAAGTATTTGCGGCGCTTTTGCGGCACAAGTCTTTTGTGCCTCAAAAGTAGCCGTTACAAAAGAAAATAACACTCTGTTTAAATGTGTCGCAAGCATTTGCGGCTCAATTAGTGACACATATTAGTGCCACAAAAATTGCAAGCGGCACAAAAATTGTGCCGCAAATAGTCACGCGGCACAAAAATTGCGTCACAAATATTAAATAGTCTCCTTCAATAAACAGATGCACTGCAGTGATTTACACTTTTTGCATATTTTATGAATTATTTTTCATGCTTGTAGTACATTTCCCTTTCAAGTAAGTAATTCAATTCACTATCTAAATGGAAACAATCACTGCAAATTTCCAAATTCATCATCATAACCTAATTCTAAAAGGTACAAGTAGTTCCTAATTCCAACCAATTTTGCAAAAGTCATCACGTTTCAATATGGTTAGGCCACATTGAAACATTTTTCGTAATAATTGCAACTTCCTTCCAGAAATGGCATGGCAAATGTAAATAATCCACTGAATTCGGCTCCTGCAACTTCCTCTACTAGTGCCATATATAACTGGGCTGCGTCATCAAAACTCAATGAACTCGAGACAGCAAAAACCCGAAGAGTAGCACAAATGGTCCTTACGGAGGAAATGGTGTTCAGATGCCATCTCCTAGTGTTCCTTGAGTACCTTACTACAACCGCAACTCAATCCTTCTCCTTTCCAGTCTCCAACGGCATCATCATCTAACGATCCTCCACAGACTTCACTTGGTGGCTTACCGACTGGAATGCACACGAATTCTGCTAGTTCACCGAACATTGCACTGCAGCAGCCAGCACTTTCTAGTGACACAGATGCAAATGATTCCCAGAGTTCTGTTCAAAAAATCATACATGAAACGATGATGTCAAATCAGCTTGGTGGTGGTATCATGGGCATCAATAATGGCGAATGACATGAAATTAATATCAACAAGCAATAATATGGGTCTAACTAGTAATAACTGCATCGTTGGAGATGGGGTAACCAACACACACTGGCATTAGGGGTTCAGGATATGGGAGCATGACCAATGGACTAACGGAATTTGAGCTGCTTTAGGAAGTAACTCTGTGACCATGAATGGCAGAGTAGGCATGACAATGGGTCTATGACAATGAATGGCAGAGTAGCCATTATTTAAATAAAAAAAACCTTTTTTTCTGAAAATTTCACTCAAAATAAAGTATAAATAGCAAAAAAATGAAGCCAAAATCCATGAGATAATAAATGCATCGTCAAAAGCTAATGATATGAAGTACACTATTGCTGGGAATTAGAAAATTAGCCGAAATCAGAAACTTTGGAATTAAAGTTGAATGCTATTCAAAATTTGATGCTAGATCCCCATTATTTCACCTTAATCACTTTAAATTCCAAAACAGCAGAAGGCAAAAACACCATAAAATTCCACATTTAGAACCTAACAACTGCCAACATTGAACAACTTTTAATCATTCTCCATAAATATGATAAAAGGTGCATATAAATAAAAATGAATTGCAGATCATATAAGCTTAATTACCTTGCATCTGGACAACCCAAGCTTATTGAGCACAACCTTCCTACCATTAGTAGTGGTACCCTTATAGATATATTGAGCGCATGAATTGATATAGATCACAGGGTTAAAGGGACATAATTGAAGGAGAAGTTTAGCACTTGTCTTCTACTAAATAGATCCCCAAACTTTCTCGTAAGAAAACAGACCATTTTGCATAAAAACTTCAAAAATTTTGAGTTTATAAGCTTATTTGGGAAGTAGCTTGCAAATGAAGACATAAGACAGTGAATTTCTTGTTATAAAACTTCAAAAATTTTGTCAAACCATCTATGAAAAAATAAGCAATAATTTACCAGCCAGTCCAGTCTTCAGTCTGCATCCTGGGTTTATAAGCTTATTTGGGATATAGCCAACTAGAAGCCATTGCATGTATTAATCTGGGCAGAATAACACACACATATAAGAAACTGGAACTCGTAAAAGAATTAACCAAAGTTGCTACAAGTAGTAACACCAAGTTAATAATGAGAGAAGGTGGGCCTAATATTATACCCGTAGAGGCAATCATGCTTAACAATTTTGTGTTACAATATTATCATACCATATCATAGTGTGACGCAAAAATTCTTACTACCATAAGCAAGTGCATTTTTAAGTAGTTTGTATGCCTTGTAACCATTTTTAAGGATTAAATCAGGAATTACTTGATCTAAAACAGCAATACTTGATTGCCATTTTCCACTTTCTTGAAATGATTATGCTCCAAAGTTGGGATTTCTCCTAAACTATTTGTGTGTCCCCAGTCTCCAAGAACAGGGAGAGTTGTTTACAGGCATTTATGACAGAATTACAAATAACACCTAATATCAGTAGCATGATAATCGGACAAATATATAAACTAGAGAATGGAGTGCACTTAAGCTTCAAATGTACCTTCTGCCAACGGCTGCTATCTCGTTGTTTCAAGACAACGACTGTATTGAGTTTCTCAGGCGATTCCATTGTCCATCTGCAATATGGGCTGGACTCTTTAAAACGAGAGTAAACTCCTATTATCTCCCCTTAAGTCGCATTAAAAATATTTTAAAGAATTACAAAAAATACATAAAAATAACCGCAAAAGTCTATAAACTCCTGAGCACTAAGGGCATGTAATAAATTCTCTTGATTATACCATAAAATAAATGAATAAAGTGAAAAAAATCGCAAAGGAATTGAGCTTAATTACCTTGCTTTTGAACCAGAATAGCTAGCAAAATTGTTGGGTAAGTTCTCTCAAAGCTACAATTAGTTCACCGATGATCAAAATTACATGGAGAAGCAAATCCAGCCAGTGAAAACCAATTTATTCACTTTTGGCAAAGTGACCTGAAACTGTTTAACTTCTCAAAATCATGCCAGAAGTCATTAAACCTAAGAACAAACACAAAATTGAGATAAAACTATCGTTAGCTATAAATCTCACCATATTCCTTTGAGAATGTGATAGAGTCTTTAGAATTGGAAAGAGACAAAGAAGAAGAGCAACAAAGAGAGATACAACAACAAGGAAGAAACACTGCAATTGGGAATCGACTTCAACTGCTGAGAATAAAAATGGAGGAGGTCCATCTTCCTGGCGTTAAAACCCTAGCTTCAGGCGTCAAAACCAATTAGCAATCAATCTGTCTACTCTTCCGGATTTCCTCCGTATCTCAAAGATGAAGGTGGTCGCCGCATATTCGTTGGCCGTATTGGGTGGAAAATAGAGGAGGTGGAATTAGATTTGACCATTTGAGAGAGAGAGAGAGAGAGAAAGCGAGACAAGTTCATTGGGAATTTGGAATCAGAATTTAGAGTTTAGAAGAAAGAAGTGGGGGGGTTTTGAAATTAGCGGAGAATGAAGGAGACATTGGAAGTGAAAGGCGCTTTCCCTTTTCTTTTCCCTTTTTCTTTACTCTGGATTTATTAAAACTACGTCGTTTTGCCACAAAAATTATGCCCCTTTTATCAACCTTGCCACATAATTTGAAATGTGCTCTTTATTTGCTGCATTTTCTTCTTGTGCCGCAGCGAAAACGTCACAAAAAGCCTATTTTCCTGTAGTGGGTGTTCTAATGTTTCTGCACTTTCTCCACAACTCCTGCACCAAGGTTCTTCTTTCCTGTTCTTCGGAATATATTCTCGTGGGTGGGAAGAATGTCGTGTAGGCATTTTCCACAGGAAGTGATTAACCTTGTGTTTAATGTTGAGGTCCCAAACTTGATGCCAAATTCTGGAATTCTGCGTATTCTTACTAGTGCTCTCATGTTGCAGAAGCCCTTTGTTGTTCCTTTCCATTCTTTCCTTGGCTTTTACATATCTAGTTTTGGTAGTGTATTTACCATTTGCACTGTTGCACCAAGTGTATTCCCTCCAAATAAGCTAAGTGGGATTGCTGTGATTAGTTTGGCCTCTTCAGCAGAGAAAATGGAGTTTATGATGTTTGAATTCCACTTCTAGTCATGAATCAAATCCGAGACTTTGTCATATGGACAATTGTGTGGCTTAGGTGTGGAGATTTTACCTGAGCTGCTGTTTTTGAGCCATCAAACCTTCCAAATTTCCAAATTGCAATAGTGTTGCCATTTCCAACCTGCTTCCTTAATTCACTTTCCAGCATCCCAATTGAGCTGTGCAGACTTTGCCAGATCCACGAAGCTCCATTTTTCACCTGTGCATCAAGAATAGAGGATTTGGGGAAATACCTTCCTTTTACCATCTTACTAACCAACAAGTTTGAATTGGTAAGCATTCTCCAAACTTGTTTGGCTAGTAAGGCGGTGTTAAAGCATTGAATATCCCGGAAACCAAGTCTCCCTTTCCCTTTAACATCAGAAATATCAGCCCAGCTCTTCCAATGCATTTTCTTTTCTCTAGAATCACCTCCCCACCAGAATTTAGCCATCATCCCGTAAAGCTCTTTACATAGTTCAGCAGATAGTTTGAAAACTGACATTGCATATGAAGGGAGAGCAAGGGCCACAAATTTGAGTAATACCTCTTTACCTACAAAACTCAGCATTTTATCTTTCCAACTTTGTAGCTTTTTGCACATCTTCTCTTTAATGAACATGAAGACACTATTCTTTGATCTACCTATCACCATAGGCAAGGATCACTAGTATTTGCTTTGAGTGACAAGTTGGATATTGCCAAGTGGTCTCAAGATAGCTTCTGCCTCTGTTTGAGAAATATTTTTGCTAAGGATATGACTGATGATTTCTCAATATTTATTTGTTGTTCCGAGGCCTTTTCATAGCGCTTGAGAATTCGCTTGATCTCTTCAGCTTCACCTGTGTTGGCTTTGGAAAACATAAGGGAGTCGTCAGCAAAAAAGATATGAGAAATTGTTGGACTTTGTCTGGAGATTTTGATCCTAGAAATTCTGTTATCCTCATTGGCTTGCTTAAGAAGATGAGAGAGGCCTTCTGCACAAAAAAGGAAGAGAGAGCGAGATAGAGGATCTTCATGTCTAATTCCCCTAGTGAGACACACATAGCCTTGTTTTTCTCCCATTAATGTTAAAACTAAAAGACATGGATGACAAACAACCACGAATCCATTTAATCCACCTTGGGCAGAAGCCCATTTTACACATGACAGCAAACAAAAACTTCCATTCAACCCTATCATACACTTTGGACATATCAATCTTAATCTTAAGAAACATAGATGCATCTTTACCTCCCCTCATATTATTGAACCAGTGAATGTACTCATGTGCAATAATGATGTTGTCTATAATTTGTCTGCCCCCCTCATATTATTGAGCCAGTGAATGTACTCATGTGCAATAATGATGTTATCTATAATTTGTCTGCCCCGAGGACAAATGCAGCCTGAGAATGACTGATATAACCACCTAAGAAGGGTTTAAGTCTATTAACAATAACTTTGTAGACAAACATTACAAAGGCTAATGGACTTGAAGTGGGAAAGATTGACAGGGGTATCAATTTTGGGGATGAGGGTGATTAATGTCTCATTAAAGGCTTTTAACATGTGGCCAATACTAAAAAAGTTTTGAATTGCCTCCATAATAAACCAAAATCTTTGAAAGAAGATGGGGGACATATCGTGGGGTCCTCCTGGTGCTTGTTAGCATGCGGGGAAAAAAGTGCTGCTTTGACTTCCTTTTCTGTGACAAGTTTGGTAAGCTGCAAGTTCATCTCAGTTGTAATTATCCTGCGATGCCATTCAGAATTTCCTCAGAGTCATCAGGCCGTGAGCATGTACAACGCACATAGATAGAAGCTCATCTGCATATGGGCGTATGTTGCACATTTATTCAAGTAAAACTAAACGCACGTTTCTTTGATAGGAGCCCAAAATTGTTAATTCGACTGAAGCGAAATGGGAAAATTTGCATCACAAGAATTCTTTGTTTCGATGGACTTTTCTGGCAAGTGCATAGGGTCACTTGTTAGACAAATTGAAATTTTACATGTTCCAACATCTGATGAAAGAGAAATTCTTATGTAAAATTGCACAACTAGCCATCTTTTGGCCAAATTAGATTGTAAATTTTCCAAACTGCCAAAGTACATTCATCAATCAGTAACAAATATGATAGAAATATTGCAGCAAACAACGGATCGGCAATGAAAAATATTAAACAAGAAGTAAAGAACTCAAGAAGCATTTTTGAAAGCGAACCATGCATGTACGAGTAATTAAAAAGAAAAACTCTAACCAAGTCCAAATTCAACGAGCCGAAGAACAACTCTTTAGATTCTGATGGACCCAAATCAATAACATAAATCCAAAGGAACAATTAAGGAAAACAATATACGAGGCAAATGAAAAATTTCTTATAGATGAAACACGCTGCAGCTACAATACAAAGACAACAGCCACCGACAAAGACATTGACTATTCTTCACCGCACCAATAAGCCATATGCGGCTAACTATTATTACCACTACTATACTAAATTTATGGGATTGAATCCCACGCGGCCAACCTTACAAATCCACAGTACAACTTTCTGTACTAATCAATACATTGATGACATATGGCATCAACATCATTAAAAAAAAATACAGGTTTGGTTTAATTATTTTCTAACAGATACACGGTTCTTGATGTCTCGAATGCTTGGATTGAGAAGCACTTGATGAATCAAATTCTCAAGATTCAAGTTAGCATCTGTCACAGCCACTTCTGCCAATTTTTTCCAGTCCATGGCTTTTTTCTTCATTTCCTTACCCTTCTCTCCCGCCATTAACTCGCTAACAAGGCTTTCAACTTCATCCCTCTTGACATTATTGTCCATCTCCATTCCAATACCCCATTTAGTGCAGCAAAGCCAGCAATTAGTTTGTTGATCGGCAAAAAAGGGCCAGCAGATCATAGGCACCCCATAACTAATACTTTCGATTGTGGAATTCCACCCACTATGAGTTAAGAATCCGCCAACAGAAGGATGGGTAAGGACTTTCTCTTGAGGGCACCAGCCTGCAAACATGCTTCTTTCTTTGGTTTCTTCAAGAAACTCACTTGGCAGAATAGCTGAACTGCCTGAGACAAGATCTGGCCTTAAAATCCACAAAAAGTTTTGTTTGCTATTAGCAAGTCCCCAAGCAAATTCGACTAGTTGCTCAGGTGTCATAACAGCAATGCTTCCAAAGTTGACATAAACCACAGAGTTTGGATCTTTCGAGTCAAGCCACTCAAGACATTCTGGCTGTTCCTTCCAGAGATTTGATCGAAAATCTGTTAAAGACTTACCATACACAGGATTCTCTAGCAAGTGTAGTGGTCCAATGGTGTAAATTGGAGGAAGATAAGATGAAAGTTCATCTAATACATCATGTTCCAGTTGTTGAAAGGTGTTTATAATGATGGCAGAGGCCTTTCTAGATCTCTGAGTTTCTTGCATGACGAATTTCAACATGAAATCATCGGGATTTGTGGTTCGAAAGAAGCTTGGAAGATCCTTCAAGCGTATACCCTCTAATCCTGGAATCCAATCTAGAACAGTGTCTAGACATCCATTTGTCAAATAACTAGCATCTGCAAGGCATAAGATGTACGACACCGAGTATCATCAGAATCATACAAGGGCATCCATTTAGGAAGAGGCATTAAATGTTCAAGCTATTTTCTTTTTTAAGAAAAAGTTTCCAAAAATATGTGGAAGAAGAGAATAAATGACCACGAAAAATTTTGAACACACATTTTTCATCAAAAAATAGTCGTACCTTTGAGTGGCATGATACCCTTTTCGATAAACTTGTCAAACTGGAAATACGGCAAGTAGGAAGATGCGCTGGAGGTCCAAAGAAGAACTTCAGGGATGCCAAGTTCTTGAGCAGCTGCTAGAGTGAAGGTCATTGCTCCATCGGAAACTATGCAAGAAACAGGGGGCACTTCTGAGGAAGAGGTATCGTTGAGTTCAGCAAGTAGCTCCCTGAAGGGACCTAAGCAAGTTCTATCAAAAGATTCACAAAGGGTTGGAATATCTGGGGTAGCATCGACCTCAGAAGGAGGAAGTCCGTCAGGGATGGCTTTAAATTGGAAATCAGGCAGTCCCTTTAAGGCATCAGGACCGCTGGATTTAAGCAAGCGCCTGTGGTTGAATTCTGTGTTGACAAAGGTGATATGAAAACCCTTTTGGTGGAGGAGCTTGGCTAGCTTTAGCATGGGGTTTATGTGGCCTTGAGCTGGAGCTGGTATGCAGACGGCGTGAGGCTTCTTCTCCAGTAAAGCAGTGGAACCCATTCTTCTTGCCAGCGGATTTGAGTGGACAAATTGTACGTTATCACACAGCAGCCACTAGTTGGGAATTGGGTTGATGGTAAAGTAAAAAAAAAACCAATGAAGAGCTAGTGCAAATATTCGAGAAAGGGCAGTGTAACATAATTATGTGTT